TTTTTAAACTTTTTTATTGTTTCCGCTTAAATTAATTTTATATTTGCGTGTTTGGGGTTTTTATTTTTAAATAAAAATTAAATTAAATTGATTAAAGAAGGTGTGGAGAGAAAATATTATTTAAATTTATATTTATATTTTTATAATTAAATTATTTATTCCCTAAAATTATAACCATTTATCGAAAACAAAAACTTTTATTACAATGGCTTGTTTAATGTGTAGAAAAAAATTTATTTTTTACACGTTTCACAAGATGTTAACAATATGATAGCGTAAAAAGATGACTTTGTAACAAGATGATAGCGCCAACTAGTTTTCATTATATCCTACCAAATATTAAATGGATCTGTTTCAAATTTTCGCAGAATATAGGTAAGGATATTCATTTTTGATACATAATATCCTTACGTATATTCTGCCAAAATTTCAAACAGATCCATTTAATATTTGGCTCAATTTTCTGTTATTTAGTAGATGTCTAGATCCTTTTTTCAATTTTCTCCCCGAATATTAACTAGAGGTCGCGGTCAAATCCATTTTCGACACCTACAGTTGTTCCCACCGATCTTTCTCATATTAACTTAACACTTAATTATCCTCTTATTTTTTAAATTTAAAGTTGTGAATTAGGGTTGGCAGATCCATATATCCGGATCTGCAAACAAATTACAATGACATGTTCTTGTTCAGATTGTATCCGTATCTCCTTAGAGTCCGGATCTCCTTAAATTTTTGTATTAGGATACGAATCAGGACATCCGGGGATTTCCCGGATCCGTCAACCTTACTTAGACTTATAGAGTTATTAGAGGTAAAAATGCCCTTAAATTAATTTTTTAATCCCAACCTTTTATTTATTTTTTCTAATTTTTTACTTTAAAATATTTAATCCCCCTGTTAACTTTATTTAATTTAAATCCCCCTCCACTCTTTTTCAATTTAATCTATTTATAACTTTTTTTTTATTCCATTCAAATTTCCACTATTTTAACACATTTTTAATGCTAAACAAGTGACATTGACTTTTTTCGGAAAATGAGGGAGAGACGAGAAAAATTGAATTTTTATTTATTTTTTGGAGGTAAAAAGAAGGACCAGCGGGGAACTTTTTTCCTTAAAAAATTTTTTTTCTTTCAAAAAAAATTTTTTTTATTTTCCCAAAAAAATTTTTTTTGGACATTTAACCATGTAGAAAAATATAAACCAAAAATTACAAACATTTTCTTAAAACATGCCTTTTCCTTAATTTTCGTGTTGCCGTAAAAAGAATTGAAGGGAAAGGATATTAATCCTATAGGGAATTTATTTAACCCTTTTTTATAATTCTTTAAAGTTTTTTTTGATTTTTTAAAGAATTTTACTTTTTTTAGAAATAAAGATATAAATCTTTATTTAAATTAAAATAGAGTTAATATTTCCAAAAAAAATTTTTTTCAAGTTTTATTCAAGTTTATTTTATTGTAAGGGCAGGGGACGCTTCTGTATAGCCTTACCGAGTCCCTATTTTGTACCATAACTTTTTTGATTTTTAACCTATTTTAACAGTTATTGTATCATTCGAAAGCTCTGGATATGGAGATTATTTTGACTAAAAGGTTTGATATGATCAGATAATCTGTTAAAAAGTTACAGCCGTAGAAGCACGCGCAATCGTGAATTTTTATGTCTATCTAACCATAACTTTTTGTAGTGTGATCCAATCAAATCGATCCTTTTAGATTAAATAATCCTCACGTTCAGAGCTTTTAATTGTTATAATAATCATTTTTATCTGTTAGTAATTAAGTAAGTTATGACTCAAAATAGGACCTCGACAAGACTGTACAGAAATAGGCTTTACCGAAATATTATTGTCTATTTAATACTGACCGGGCTCCAATTGTCATAATTAGGTAATTAATTTGAAGCTTTTTTGGGATAAGCCTAAAACGGCGCGCCCTAACTTGCATTAAGTTTTTTATCTTACCAAATCTGGTAATAAACGATTCCTCTCATCGAGCTAAGAAGATTGGTATCAAAACTCATATGAGCTGGGACATTTTGTTTGTTTATGGTCTATTGGCTTTGTTATGGCTTCGTGCCCTTTTGGGCTACTTTTTTTCATTTTGGATGGCCACTAATTTACCTCCATTTTAAAATACACCTCTTTATAAGATCCATTTTTCATCCTTAAATGTGTATATAAAAATTAATATCTGGTTGTATATTTATTTTTTTAATCATCCAATTTTAAAAATCTGCAAAAAATTTTTATTTTTGGAATCTCCATCTACGTAAATAATTTTTAGTCATTTTAATAATTTTTCTACCATTCGGATGTTCACTATTTTTGGATTTATTTTATGTCATTGAATTATTTATTTTATCAAAAAATTTTTTGCGGATATGTAAATTATTTTTTAAATAAAATTTTTTCAGTCATTTTATTTTTTAAATTTTCATTTTAAAAATTGCTTTATTTTTTATTCCTTTAAAATAATGCAAAACTTTTTTGAAAAAATTGTTTTGATAAATTTTTTGCCATTTTTATTTTTTTTAAATATACAGTAATTATTAGAGATGTCAAAGGCTCTTGGTCTTGAGACATCTCTAGTGATTATTTATTTCTTAAATCTTCCAATATAGACACAAGTATGTACGAACCTCAAATTTTTATCTGCATCTTCTTACAAAATGTTAGATTATTAACTGAGTTAGGTTGAAGTCCAATTTTGTCCCTCCGATTTTTCCCGATTTTCAATTTTTTGTAATTTCTATTCCGACCCCTTTGGATAGCAAAAAATTGTCAGAATAAGAACATATTCCGATTCCTTTTCTAGATATTAAGATGAAACTATGTTTAATACATATTACTTTGAATTAGGTCTAGATTGTGACTTTAATTGATATGCCTAATTGTTTTGTGTTTCTTAGGAGTAGGCTGTTCCCCGACAAGGAGCAATGGGGTTAACTTTTCGGGGAGGTAGCGCCATGGGGGGGGGGGGCGGGGAATAACCCTAGCTAAGGAATATTTTTAAAATTTCGATGTTTACCAAAATAAAGGATAAGAAAAAACAATAGATAAAAGCAATTGGAGCTTCATTTGATACGTGACGGCTAGGCTAATTCAACTAGGGCTTTAATTCAAAGTACGGGGATAAACATCCAATTATTACTAAATAATCCTCTTTTTTCTGGACTTTTCTTGCCAATTAAAATTTTTGCACTTGCTGGTCTTTTTATAAAAATTTTTTTTTGTTTTTTATAGAAGATTTTTTCTCATATTTTTATGCATTTTTATTTATTTTTTTTTTATTTTCTCACGCTGTCAAATAGTGTTTTGACAGCTCCAATTGCTTTTATCTCGTGTTTCTTTCCCTCTCCTTTTTGTTGTCACAATTAAAAATAAAGAAAAAAATTTTTCAAAAAAATATTTTTATATTAAACACAATTCTATCTGTGTTCTTTGAATTTTTAATTAGATGGTAGTATGTTAGGAAAGGAAAATTAATCTAGTGATTTTATGTAGCAGATTTTCATTAAAGACATTTGCAGACCGGATTTCATGAAATGTTCGGAGGTTGCAGACTTCGTAAACTACTTCGCCTGCTTCTTTACGAAGTCTGCAACCTCTAGACCTTTAAATACTTTAACTCATTGTCTAAGCACCTTATACACGTCCATCAATGTCTGTCCGTGACTTAATCGCTACATGATATGATCCGATTAACTTACAGGAATCCTAATAAGAGATAAATGGAACAGTTTATCCTCCCGAGGCCGTATTCAGAGAACGAGGTAGGGGTTAACCATCCCTCAGCTGCGGGTAGGTTAACTCAGAATTCATAAATGAGGGTACTTTCCAGGTACCCTTACCTCGTTCTCTTAATACGGCCCCTAAATATGCATAATAATCTGAAAATTAAGAAGAATAGAAAATCTACATTATAACCAAAAATATCTCAAATATTAAATAAATCTTATATTAGTACAAAATTATATTTTTCTTCATTTTATTAAAGAATTTTTAAAAGTATTAAAAATAAACACACACTAATTACCTCAAAAAGTAAAAATAAAAACAACAAAGCAAGTTAAAAATTTAAAAATATTTTTAAAATGGCTTTAGCAACAACAACATATTCGAGCAGTCCAGGCCGTAATGGACGCCGTCCATCAGCGGCCAGTGTTTCCGCCGCTAGCGGCGGAAGCGGGAATTTTTTTCTTTCACCAAATTCTGTTTTTCCAGAAGGATTTAGACCAGAAAGACGAAGAAAAAGCTACGCTGGTGATAATCAAATACCAGATTTATTTATTTATTCGCCTGAAGCAGCTATGAGTCCAACACTGACAAGTCATGGGGGTGGGTTTGGTGCTTCTCCCCAACAGGTGTTTTTTGTAAATTTGAATTAAAATTTTTTTTAATATTTCTGAAAATTTTTTAAATACCGTATATGCTCGAATAAATATCCTCTCTCAAATAATTGCCACTTTCAATTAAATACCCTCCAGAACAGGTTGAAGCAATACTCTCAAATAATTGCCCCTTCCAAATGTCCTACTTCAAGTGTCTCGAATAATTGCCCCTCTCGATTAATATTTGCTTGAAGCAGCAATGAGTTCAACATCTATCTAGCCCCCTCCCCTATCCTCTCTAGCCCCACCCCTCGATTAGTTATCCTCGCTAGCCCTCTCTCGCGAAAGGTTGAATTACCCAGGGTAATTATTTAAGCATATATGGTAATTATTAGTAGTTACTCCGATCCGGACAGTCGCGGACAATAAGAGACTCATTCCTTTTTGGGTGTTATTGCCAGTTGGAGGCTTAATCCTATTATTTTTTTTATTTAACCGACTATTTTAACAAGTTAACTAAATTCATTTTGAGAAAAATAATAAAATTGATAACGATAATTTATCACAAGAGTAATGTTAACTACAAATCAGCTAAAAACTTTCCAAATTAAAAATAGAATAAAATTTAAAAACTAAAACAATTATGCTAGAAAGGACAGAAAGTGTTACAGAATTTGATAGTATAATGTATCTCGTTTTTAAACACAACAAAGTGTTGTCATAATTTTGAATATCTGTTCTAATAACAGATTGATCTAACACATGTTTTCTTTCCTCACATCTTCTCATATTGTCAATAGCTGCCTTAATTTAAAGTAAATATTTTAATTATGTATATTCCCTACCTCAATTGCCGGAACCAGATCCATGACCTCCTGAATGGCGTCCTTGTGTACGCCCACCTCGTGTACCTTGACCTCTTGTTCCTCGACCTCGTGAACGGTTATTTCCTATTGGCACAGCTGTATGTAAATATTTTAATTAATTCATAAAATAATTTTAAATTCGCTCTCTTAATATTTAACGACATAGTAAAGTTATATATCAAGATATCTATTTTTGGGGAACATTTTACATTGGTTCAGGGGGATGAGCGCAATAGAGGATTTAAAAAAACGTAAGGCCAAAAATCAGTACAAAACAGTGGATAATATGAATTTGGACTTAAATTGAAATTGGCCGCTGACAGGCATTTAAAAGTCAATTAATTACCCTCATTAAAATGAATGTGAATCTTCAGCATATCTTGTATAATTTCCGTTTTCTCGTTTTCGATTTCTTCAAGAAGGGTGTTTAGTTTATGTGTTTCTTCATTTATTTGTTGTAACATGGCCGGATTACTCTAAAAAAAGGAAATATAAACTAATAAATTATTTGTATGATTATGATTTTTTGCCAGAAAATAGGCAACTTTCTTAGGATCATAAAAAATATCATTTGAATAACGGTGACACTTTGTTAAATTTTAATAATTATTCAACCCTTTTAACTCAACCTATGTAATTGAATTGAATAATTCACATAAATATTAAGTAAAAGTTTAGCAAAAGTTTAGCCACCGTGCAGGATTGGAATTTGCGACTTGCTAGGCGCTTTCGCTTACCGCTTTTAGGAGTTCTACCACGGAGCTACCGGGGCGACGACTAAAATAATTTTGCTTTTATCTTCGTTTAACTCCCGCCTAAGCGTTTTAAATGCTGCTATGTGAATCCTCCTTACAATTATAATATCTTTAATTTTTATTTTAATTCTCTATTTTGCATGGCCAATTAATCTTTCCGGAGAGATACGAGACGAACGCCACCTCTGGCATATACCTATTTTCATTTCCGAATAAAAATAAATTTAAATAAAAATTGTCTTATAACCTGATAGTTCCAAATAATCGACTGGTAGTAATGAATTTGTTGACTAATAGCTGTAAATTCAGCACACAACTCGTGATATGCATAACATAAATTATAATATTGTTTTTGAATATTATCAATTACTTGCATATTTCCTTGGTTTTCTTTTTTTTTAATTATTTAATTAAAAATTTAAAATAAGAATTACTTAATGGGCGTTCTATGATGCTTTGAAGAGGAGCTGAAAAGCCAACATGGAGAAGCATATGACGAATTAGTAAATCTAGTTGGGGCATCTATTAAGAATATTTATAGTCTTATTATCCTAAAATAATACTAACATCTGGTTCCACCCGTCCTCCTCCTAGATTCAACCATCCTATTTGCGATCCTGAAGGACCTTCTCCTGGATTCATTCCAAACAATAAAGAAAAATTTTGAAGAAATTAAAAATTAAAAAGAATTAAATTGTAAATTTTCATCTTAAAATTTAAAACAGTTACAATTCCACTATACACTTACTTTTACACTTACTTAATACACAAAAAACTAGAAAGCTATAATTCCATTTTAGTTTGTAAATAGGCTGGGACAAAACCGTTTAGTAGCTAAACGGTAAACGGTATACGATAAACGGCTTTTTTGCTAAAATTAAACGAAACGATAAACGGGTCCCAGATAAACGGCATAAACGGTATACGGTCCTTCTAAACGCCGTTTAATTCGTTTAATTTTTTCTTAGAATTAGTGGCTTAAAACATGAATTTTTGCCGTCAAACACATTAAAATCAAAAAATTTTCGACTGCGGCGCAAAAATGTGAGGAAATCTAGCTTGTAGGCCTTCCACAATTATAAAAATTTTCGCCCGCGGCTCTGGAAAAGAAGAATTCTAGCTTCTTGGCCTTCCAAATTTTTCAAAATATTCGCCAGCGGCGCTGATAATGTTAGAAATCTGGCTTCTGGCTTTAAAAGTTTTCAAAATTTTCGCCTGCGGCGCAAAAAATGGAAGAAATCTGACTTAACGACATCAGAATTTCTCAAAAATTTTCGCCTGCGGCGCTGAAAAAGGAAGATCCTTATTATCCTTCCAAATCCCCAATTTCCCTTCAAATCTTTCAATCCTCTAATTGACATTATCTATACACACCTTAATCCTTTGATATCTCTTAATCCCCTCAATCATTTTAAATCCCCTTACATCACCTTAATCATTAGATATACAATCCTTATCCCCTTTAATCCTTGATCCCCTTTAATAACTTCTAATCTACCGATATCCCAACTCAGTCCTCCTATATAAATTCAAAACCTCCAAATTTCCAAAACCACTGATATCACTCTTAATCACCAGGAGTGATATCGGGTCTCTCTCTCTCTTCAGCCCGTCCTTTACCCTCTAAATCCATCGCTATTATGAATTTATTGATGAATTATAATTTTTATAAAGACGGATGAGCAAAATTAATGAATTTTCATCGAGTTTTGTGAATTATGAATTGATTTGAAAAATTTTTAAAAATAAACGGTAAACGGTCGTTTAAACGGTTTTTAAAAATAAACGAAACGGTATACGGGTCTCAGATAAACGACATAAACGGTATACGGTTTTTTGAAAATTAAACGGTTTTGTCCCACCCTATTTGTAAACTTCAAAAATAGGGGATGTGTATAATTAGTTAACAGAGTGTATAAAGAGTTGACTGTAACCCTAATAAACAGCTTAATACTTGTTTTTCAATAACAGTTTATTTTCTTATCTTAAAGGTTTAGAAGGGCACTTTGTTAAACAAAAAAATTAAAGGAGTAATTTAAGAAATAGGCATAGCAAATTAGCGACATTCTTTGCTTTTTAAAGGCAATCAGACGCGCACTTAACTCATGTACTTTAAAAGTTCTCGTGAATTGAATCGTACACTCTTAAAAGGCATGCCGCAAAGTCTCGTGAATTGAGAATTAGTAGCTATGTTGTCCTATTGACTTATACTGGTTGTATTTGACAAACCCGCTTTTCCTATAAAAATTATTTTAAAATTTAAAAGAGGGGAGAGGAGAGGGGAGAAAAGGCGTGCCGTGATTCTTAAAAGGCATGCCGTAAAGTCTTGTGAATTGAGAATTAGTAGTTATGTTGTCCTATTGATTTATACTGGTTGTATTTGACAAACCCGCTTTTCCTATAAAAAATTATTTTAAAAGAGGGGAGAGGCTGGGGAGAGAATTTTTAAAGGAGGGGGAAAACATTTTAAAAATCAATCCCCTGATTCATGTGAATCCGTACAGGAGGGGAGAGGAGAGGGAGAGAATTTTTAAAAAAGTGGAGAGGAGAGGGAAGGAGGGGAGAGGCTGGGGAGAGAATTTTTAAAGGAGGATAGGGGGAGAGAATTTTAAAAATCAATCCCCTGATTCATGTGAATCCGTACATGAGGGGAGACTGATTGTATTTGACAAACCCGCTTTTCCTATAAAAAATTATTTTAAAATTTTGCACTTTTTTAAATTTTATTAAATAAATTCTTAATTAAAATTTATTATTTTAATAGAGGGCTAATTTTATACATAATCCAATCACGAATTAATAACTTAGTCTGCATTATATTCTGTGAATCAAACAACCAGATTCCTTCCATTTTCTGTGCCAATGGCAAAAATTTTAGGAATCTTGAAAGGGCAAGAGGCCAGATTTCTTCCATTTCTTAGAAAAAAGGCAATTCTTATGGGTGTATATTTAGCCTCGGTCCTCGGGAGGTCTTTGGCGAGGACCGATACCAAGTACGAAGACCTCGCGCAACCTTACACATAATCATCACGCATGATGTAATAAACGTGATTTAATTCAATTATAAATACATATAATTCTCTCTAGTTATAAACATGGTTTCGCTGGAGGTTGTAATTAATAGGCGGGGGTTTTACGGTAATTCCTTTATCTCTAATTCAGTTTTTGGATAAATTAAATATTTTACAAAAATGTGTACTATTTTTGATATTTTTAAGTCAGAAATCTCTGAAATTCCTTTTAATCATTTGATTAACTATTTTAAAATTTGAGATCTAAGATTATTTAATTATGAACTTATAATAATTTTAAAAAACTGAATTTATCTAATAACTAAGTTTATCACAAGAGTATTTTAACTACAAATCACCGAAAAATGTTTAAATAAAAAATGGAAATAAATTATGAAATTGAAAAACTAATACAAATTGTGCTAGAAAGGATAGAAAATTATAGATTTCTTGTTTGGGAAAGAAGAAAAGATTGATAAAAATTAAATTTACATTATGACAAAACATTAAAAAATAGTGCACACTAATCTGGAACAGATTCAATCACTCTTATCCCTTGGTAAACTTAATAACCCTATTGTAAGAGGTCTGTCGTTAATAAATGACAGAAAATTAAAAGATCCACATTGAAGGATTACTCAATATATTTTTAGTTTTGTCATAATCTTTGATAAAAAAGTTAGCTAATTTTTACTCTTGTTCTCTTTGCTTTTTTCAGTCAACACGATTTAACTTCACATAGGTTCATCTCCTCGCAATCTTTTCATTACTTCCTTCATAAAATATAAATTAATATAGAATATATCTTAATAATAAAGCTCCTACTTCAGTTGCCGGAACCAGATCCACGATGTCCACTTGTTCCAGCATCTGAATGTGTGTTAATTAATTCATTAAACGATTTTTTTCAATTTATTAAGATAAAATTTGTTTTCTCGTAATATCTTAAACAAGCATACTCATAATGTCACATTCAGGATAATCAAGATTGAGTCACAATCAAGATTAAGTCAATTCAATTAATTACCTTCATTGTGAATCGCTTGACCAGGATTGATATAATCGTAAAGTTTTTGCAAATCAACTATGATTCCGTTTTGTTTAGCATTGTTATGGTCAAGAGCTATATTTAGTTGTTGGATTCGTTGTAAAATGTATGGATCGTTCTGGAAAACAGCAAAATAAATTATAGCTATAATTTAATAAAATCATTTCATCTCTCATTTAATTAGTTTTACTTTCGGGTTTTCAAGCTCTTTGTTTTCCAAACGATTTCACTTTTCAAAATAATTTAAAATACCCATTTTCATTACCAAATAAAAACAAATTTTGAATAAATAGAATAATATTTCTACCGGATTTTGTTCTTTTTCAGTTAAATAGTGGTTTAAAGCTTCATTAAATCCATTAGAAACAGCTGATAAATCAACATATGCTAAAACCAAATTATTATATTGTCCTCTAACATTGGTAATTGGTTGCGCAGACCGATGTTCTTTATTTGTAAAAATAGATTGTTTTTATAGTTAAAAATTCTAGTTTTATAAATTTATCTAAAAATAAATTTACCTAACTTTCGAGCTCTTATGTCACTACAGCGTCCTAACTCGCCAACTCTTTCAAGCAAAGGAAGAATTTGCCTTCTTAATCGAGTAAAATCCTGTTAGAAATGTTTTATTTTTTATTTTGCGAGAATAATTCAAACATCAAGTTCCACGGGTTGTTGCAATCCTGAACCTTCACTTTGATGCTGACCCTGTCCATATTGCACCAGTTGCCATTGTTCATGTTGCCCCTGTCCACTAGTTCCCGCATCTAAATGCGTTAAATAATCCAAACAATTCATTCTTGTTAAATTGAAGACCCTCCAAGTTAAAATACCTATATTTATTTTCATAAGAAACCTCCGGGTTAATAAAACGTGGATTATATTAAAGTCAATTAATTACCTTCATTTTGATTCTCCATATTCTCAATGTAAAGTAAATGGACATAACCGTAAAATGTTTGAACGTCTGTTAAAAGTTGAGTTTGCATATTCATGTTATTCTGAAGATAGGCGTTTAGTTGACCTATTAATTCATTGGCATCATTCTAGGAAATGGAAAATTAAAATTATATATACCGAATGCGACAAATTTTCAAAACTTTTACTTTTTGTCTTAACTTTCTTTAAGTAAATGGAAATTGATAATTCATTTTTTATTTTATTCATAACTATGGGAAAATTATTGACTGCTAAACAATAGAAATTCGGTCCTTAATAGAAATTCGGATAACCCCATCCGAACATCTAAATGCGCTAAAAAATTTTGCATGACAAAGAGCCATAACTTCGCTCAAAATTTTCTCCAATCCTACTAATTTTCTCTCATTTATTTAGTTTCATTCTCGCCTTTTCCAAACGATATTCCCTTTTCATTTATTTTAAATAAATTAAATAATATTCCTTACATGATACTCGTCTCTAGCATTTAAATGGTTGTTTCTAATTTCAATAATACTTTCGAAATCAGTTGATATCTCCTTGTACGCAGAATTCAAATTTTCATATTGCTTTCTAACATTGTTAATTTGTGAAAAATGTTCAGGGTTACCTTTATTTTTAGATTTTAAATAGAAAATAAATTTCCTTTAAATATACCTATCGGGCGAACAGCTATGCCCGAATAGGACGGTTTGTTTCCAACTCGTTCAAGCCAAGGACGAATTCCATTGAGTAATTTACTAACATCTTTCATTGGTTTTGAAAGATGCAACCTTGAACCATCCCTTGAAGGCCCTCCCTGTTGCGATCCTGAAGGACCTCCTCGATTCATTCCAAATAATAATGGAAACAATTGAAGAAAATAAAAATTTAAAAGAATTAAATTGTAAATTTTCATCTTTAAATTAAATAATAAAAATTTATATTATCTAAGTTAATACTCCTTCCGATTCAGAAGGTATTCTTTTCTACCTTACGCTTCTATTACCTTTTCGATTTAAGAATTCTCTATGGGACTTTTCTTTTATAGGACTTTTCTTAAAATACTTTTCTTATACACTCTGTTAACTAATTATTCGCACCCCCTATTTTTTGAAGTTTGCAAACCGAAATGGGGACGTGGCTTTCAAGTTTTTTGTGTATTAAATCTTCAAGTTATAGCCATCGACTATCATAAAAATTTTAAATTTAAGAAATTTTCTCGATGAAGGAATCATATTAGAACTTTTTTCTTTTGTATTTCCTATCTATATTATTTTTTCTTAAAGGGCACTTTGTTAAACAAAAAAATTTAAGGAGTAATTTAAGGAATATACATAGCAAATTAGCAACATTCTTCTCTTTTTAAAGGCAACCAGACGCGCACTTAACTCATGTACTTTAAAAGTTCTCGTGAATTGAATCGTACACTTTTAAAAGGCATGCCGTAAAGTCTCGTGAATTGAGAAATAGTATTTATGTCCTATTGATTTATAGTGATTGTATTTGACAAACCCGCTTTTCCTATAAAAAATTATTTTAAAATTTAAAAGAGGGGAGAGGAGAGGGAAGGAGGGGAGAGGCTGGGGAGAATTTTTAAAGGAGGGGAGAGGAGGAGGAGCAATTTAGAAATCAATCTACTGATTCATGTGAATCCGTACAGGAGGGGAGAGGAGAGGGAAAAAATTTTAAAAAGTGGAGAGGAGAGGGAAGGAGGGGAGAGGCTGGGGAGAGTTTTTAAAGGAGGGAGAGAGAATTTTAAAAATCAATCCCCTGATTCATGTAAATCCGTACAAGAGGGGAGAGAAGAGGGAAGGAGGCTTGTATTTGAAAAGGAATTAGACAAAATTAGGGTTCAACCTCCAGCCCTGGAGACGTTGGTGCCTCTCACTCCAGAGCTACCGTCCCCGTCACCGAGGGTTCTGAAGTTCCTTTTAATCATTTGATTAACTATTTTAAAAATTGAGATATTTATATGTAATGATTATAAGATTATCTTATTATGTGCTTTTAATAATTAAAAACTGAATTTATCTAATAACTAAGTTTATCACAAGAGTATTTTAACTACGAATCACCGAAAATGTTTAAATAAAAAATGTAAATAAAAATTCATGAAATTAAAAACTAATACAAATTGTGCTAGAAAGGATAGAAAATTATAAAATTTAATTGTATAAAAAGAAGAAAGGATTGATAAAAATGAAATCTACATTATGACAAAACTTTAAAAAAATAGAGCACAATAACATGGACCAGATTCTATAACTCCTATCCCGTGGTAAAATTACTAACCCTACTAACAGAGGTCTGTTGTTTATAAATGACTGGAAATTAAAAGACCCAGATTAATGGATTACTTTAAATATATTTTTAGTTTTGTCATAATCTTTGATAGAAAAGTCAGCTAATTTTTACTCTTGTTTTCTTGCTTTTCATGCTAGCATAACTCAGCAATAGAGCCAGGATTTTTATGCAAATGCATATTTTTTGCAATCTAAAAATCTTACACTTAAAAACGGCCCATCACGAAATCTTCAAATATGTAAAAACACTCAATTAGTCGAAATATAAATTAAAAAAGGGAGTAATCTTTATCAAAAAAGGAGTCTCAATTAGAGGCAGGACTAGGTGTGTCGTACGAGAATCGAGATCTCGATAAATCAAAGTATAAGTTGTATTTTTCTTATAAATTTTGGTGCATGTTTTGGTATTTTTATGCATATTTTCCCTTTTTTAATGCATAAAAATCCTGGCTCTACTCATCAACTTTTGTTCGTCGTGTTGATACCTTCATTTAAATATAAATTAATATAGAATATCTTAATATACATCTTACTTCAATTTCATGGACGAGATTCACCACGTCCAATCCTACGACCTCGCCCACGTCCAAGACCTCGTCCATGGAGTCCGCGTTGACCATGCTGGCCTTGTCTAATTAATGCCTCAGCTAAAAGTGTCAATTAATCCATAAAATATTTTTCTGTTTAATTATATTTTAATAAAACTAAGTTAAAATTAATTACTTTCATTTCGAAGCGATTGATCAAGATGATCAAGTCGATTGAGATAACGGAGAAGTATTCGCATTTCTTCTACAATTTTGCTTTGTTGGGTTGTGTTTGTTTCAATTGAATATGCAAACTTCAAATTAAGATATTGTTCCTCAATTTTGGTAATTGGTTGAGTACGTGCATGAACTTTATTTTTAATATTAAATTGTTTTTATAGTTAAAATTTATATTTTTAAAAATTTTAATAAAAATAAATATTACAAAACGACTCGGAAGTTATGAATGGAAGGGAATTTAAGCTGCCAAATTCTTCAATTAAAGGACTAATTTGTTGATCCAATCGAGTAAAAGCCTATTAAAAATGTTTATATTTTTATTTCATTACAATAATACAAACATCTTGCGCCACTAGCTGTTGCGATCCTGAGGAACCTTCGCCTGACTGCATTCCAACTAATAATGAAAAAGTTTGAAGAAAACAAAATTTTAAAAGAATTAAATTGTAAATTGGTAATGTGGAGATTACTGGTCCCGAAAAAAACAAGAAATGCTTTTTTGATACCAAGTTAAAATTAATACTTTCATTTCGAAGCTCATTGTCAGAATTATGAAATTTATTGAGATAATGGCGAAGTATTTCAATATCTGCCATAACTTTGCTTTGCTTTGTTTCGTTTAATTCAATTTTCTCTTGTATTTGTTGTTCAACGTTAGGGTTGTCCTAACAAATTTAAATTATATATAGTTGAATAAAGTGGTTGGTCCCGTCACAAGTGGTTGTTGTTCGATGGATTGGCATGCCGGCAACTCTCAGATATATAAATTTAAAAGTTTGCCTATTCATTGCACATTCCTATTCTTTTTTTCTATTCCTTTGCCTATTCCATTAAGGTTTATTTTGCTTATTGCCTATTCCAGCTTACTTCCCAATCGTTTTTCCAATGATAATTTAGTGGCGATATTAAACTTTGAGAATGGCCGTTTGTGCGTTCTCTTTGCACTCTCTGAGAGCGATGGTTTCTCTACATGATTTTAAAATGATCCTTACAATAAAATCATTTCATTTATTTAATCTCGCTCTTAATTTTTCCTAGTTTTTGTTTTGATTAAAACAATCTCTCTTTTTCAAGCTAATTACAATTACCAAATAAGAAATTCTACATAAAAAATATTTTCTTGCCTGATTTTGGTTTCTAGCATTTAAATGCTGGTTTAATTGACGATTTAATTCAACAGATTGATTTAATAAAACATTATATGCAAGATCCAAATTAACATATTGGTCTTTAATGTTGGTAATCGGTTGCGTACGTGCAGGATCTTTATTTTTAAAATTAATTTGTTTTCATAGTTAAAAATTATATTTTCAAAAATTTTAAAATAAATATTACGTAGCGACTCAAAAGTTCTGAAATGAAGGCACTTTAAGCTGCCATATTGGACATGCAAGGGTTGCAATCCTGGACCTTCTGGGTTCATTCCAAATAATAACAAGAAAAGTTGAAGAAAGCAAAAATTTAAAAGAATTAAATTGTAAATTTTCATCTCTAAAGTAAATAATAAAATTTAAATATAATACATACTACCTTTTTGTAGTATAATACTACTTATACTATCTCTCTGTTTCTCTAAGTCTTCCTCGATTTAATAGATAATCTCGATATTTAAGAGTATCTCGATATATCTTGACAAATATCGATAAATAATTATCGTAAGATAACCGGACCGGATTAATACAGAAAATACGTTCGGCTCCGTTCCAGCTCTAGGTATATATCAGGGATGGATAATTTTCAATTTTAAGAAGCGGAAACTGTAGAGGAAGAGGTTCCAAAGCTAGTTCCAGACAGTTACTAGTTCCGTAGTTCCGAGCTAGTTCCAGGCATTTATAGTTCTAGCCAAACTAGTTCCAGATAATCATTAGTTCCGTAGTTCTAGTTCTGGAACTTCCGGAACTGGAACTTTGACATCACTGGTACTCACCCAGACAAACTAGCTGTAGGTCCGTAACCCAAAAATGTCAAATTCGATCTGTAGATTTGAGATACCAACGTAGAAAAATGCTAACACATATGACAAACCCCAATTCTAAGACAAAACCCTAACAATTCTGTGCCGATAAATACCCAACTCGGTTTTTAGCACTTATGGTCGTGTATTTTGCTTGGGTAAGGAACTCTCTATTCCCATAAAAATTTCAAGAGAATACAGTGATTGAGTTAGTAATAATTCAGACATCATGTACCTATTAAACTCTGAGACTCAAATTAAAGGAGATACCTAAAATAAGAGTTATTATTTTTTGATTTTATTTTTTGTATTTGGTCTTTTAATGACTTTTAAACTTAACCCCATTCCCAAACTTAGCCAAATAGACTAAATAAAATAAAATGAATAGTAAAGCAAGTTGCTCCTATTTTTAAAGTCAATTGGATGTGGGTTAACTTACGTAAATGCACCTAGTCTCGTCTTGAATGGCGATATTTTCATTTATATAAATTTTCTTTTTACCCCTAGCAGAAATATTTTTTCTTTTTATCATTAAATTTTAAGCTGACAAGCTTTTAAATTTAAGAGGAGTGGGTCAATTTCATGGGACGCCTATAAGCTCCTTGCCCTTTATTTTTTACTCCTAGCAAAAATCGCTTTTCAATTTACCGGCAAACATTGAGCTAAATTGAGCTAAAATTTACGAGGCATGTCTTGACAGGTAAATCAAGTGACTATAGTAAAGCAGCTGGGCTATAGCTATTCCTCTCCTTTAGCTAATATTGGGTCCCGCTTTTTCTTTATTAAATAAATTTAAATATTCTTATATTCAACAAATCTAACTCAAACAATAATTATACAAGTTTTATTTAAGTTGGGTTTAAGTTTGGGTATCAAGTTTGATCAAGACGAGCTTGAAATGTAGAAAATACATAAGTATTTATATGGTTAAGGAATGGTCGGAAGAAGGTTAAATGAGTGAGTTTTAAAACAATGATAAGCAAGAAATAAATTTAGAATAAATGAGAGTAAGTTAAAGATCAAAGTAAATGTATGTTTTGAAAGGATGTTTTGTTTTGAGGAACATTTCCCCAAACATTTACTTTACAAAGTTTTATAAGGTGAATGTTTGGAGAAATGTTTTGAATATTTTAAAAAAAGGATCAATTTTGGGTAATACCCCAATGGGATAATACCCCAATAAAGATAAATATTGTTTTTTTAATTTTGGCATGTTCTATGAAAAATCAATTTTATTTAAATAAGTTGGGTTTAAGTTTGGGTAGCATGGTTGATCAAGACGAGCTTGAAATGTCAAGAACCCTCTTCTTTTTACAACATTTCCCTCAGAACATTATTTGAATTAATTATCTTTATATTCTCATGTCAAACTCTTTCAAACTAAACTAATCTAAACTCAGCCATCTCTATTTCCCGCCCTCTATCACTCATATAAATCTATTAATAGCTATTTAAAAACAATATTTAATTATAAGTAAGATTATATAAAATAAATTTAAAGCATTTAAGACTTCTTTTAAAGCAATGAAAATTTATCCCTGATCTTTCCTTTTACCCCTATAAATCGAAATTTTAAAAAATCGGATCGAAATTTCGAACTTTTAAATTTTTAAAGCAAGCATTCAGGTGATTTTTATTATTATTATTCAGGGCAAATACTCCCGTGATTGAATATATACAATCATATGTCGGCGGCATATTTTAACTCAAAGCAATTTTTATTTGTAAAGTGCAAGTGTCGATTTTAAAATAATGTATAAATAATATATAATAAATAATAAAATAAATAAATATAAAAATAAAATATAATAAAACTATATTACGATATATTTTTAATAAAATAATATATTTACATATAACTAGAACTGCACACCGACCGCGAACCCATATCCCGTTCCCAAATGATTTTTCACACTTCTCCCCGACACGAACCACGACCCGAGAAAGTTTCGGGGATTTCGACGTACAGTCGTGGAAAAAAGTATGGAAGCGCTAGAAAATTTTTTCTTAATTCTTAATTTTTCATTCAAAAAATACGTTCTATATACCAATCGAAAGCTCTATTCGTATCTCAGTTGACATGTTTCTGCATTTTTCATGAAAATGAAAATTGGCCGAGATAATCCGGATCTACCGGATATACCAAATCCCACTTTTTCGGAAAAATTTTTCGGAACAAATTTAACAAACCCAAATGATAAAGCATATTTTTCTGAGTATTTTCCACAAAACCGCTAAGAAATATCTTTTTCCAGAGAAGAGATATGATTTTTTGAAAATCGCATTTTTCGCTTAAAAATTGAATTTTTTGCAAAAATAGACGAAAAATGCCATTTTCAAAAAATCATATCTCTGCTCTGGAAAAAGATATTTCTTAGCGGTTTTGTGGAAAATACTCAGAAAAATATGCTTTATCATTTGGGTTTGTTAAATTTGTTCCGAAAAATTTTTCCGAAAAAGTGGGATTTGGTATATCCGGTAGATCCGGATTATCTCGGCCAATTTTCATTTTCATGAAAAATGCAGAAACATGTCAACTGAGATACGAATAGAGCTTTCGATTGCTATATAGAACGTATTTTTTGAATGAAAAATTAAGAATTAAGAAAAAATTTTCTAGCGCTTCCATACTTTTTTCCACGACTGTATATACCCTAAGTATAAAATTCCAATTTTTAAGGTAATTTTAAGAAAAAAATCAAAAAATTTCCTTCAACTTTACTTTTCCATTGGTATTTTTGAAAGGATATTGTGTTTCTAATAATCGCCTATAGTTCTAATAAAATAGGAAACTTAATCCCTCCAAATCTCCTTATACCCCAGAATCAAAGGGCAAAAAAGGGCATTAATCTTTTTAATTCAGAAATTCTCTGAAATTACTTTTACTCTGATTTCTATTTTTAAAATTGAGATATTTATATGTAATTATTCTAAGATTATTTTATTTATTAATAATTAAAAAACTGAATTTATTTAGTAACTATGTTTATCACAAGAGTATTTTAACTACAAATCACCGAAAAATATCTAGATAAAAAATGGAAATAAATTCATTAAATTGAAAACTAATACAAATTGTGCTAGAAAGGATAGAAAATTATGGACATGTTCGTCTTGTTGATAATTTCGTTCAATTATAAATTAATATAAATTATCTTAATATACCCCTTACTTCAATTGCCATGAACAGATCCACCACTTCCACCACTACGAACTCGTCCATGTCCACGTTGACCATTTTGGCCTTGTCCTTGCTGACCTTGCTCATGTACATATTGCTCTCGTTGCCCTTGTTCATAGTGGCCTTGCGCATGCTGGCCGTGTCCAATTAGTGCTGCCGCAACTAAATGTGTCAATTAATCCATAAAATAATTTCATGTGGATTATATTCAAGCCACTTACTTTCATTTCGAATCGCTTGATCAAAATTATGAAGTCGATAGAGATAATAGCGAAGTATTTGCATATCTGCCAAAAGTTTGGTTTGTTGGGTTTTGTTAATTCCAAGAAAGTTGCGTATTTGTTGTTCCAAGTTAGGGTTGCCCTAACGAATTTGAAATTAAAATTATATATAGTTGAATAATGTAAAGCGGTTGGTTCCGTTCCCTAGTGGTTGTGGTTCTGGTGTGATAAACAGCGTTGAGTAGTTGCAATCATGGATGAACTCCGCAAAGTATAGAACAAAGGGTTTCGCACCCAGTTGAATGAATGAAGTTGTCGCTGAAAGAATGAGAGCTGGGTGCGGCGCGACGGTATGAACCGCACAGCTGTCGGGAGGTTGAATTAGACTGAATAAAGTGAAGAGGAGCTGAGCTAGTCGGGAGGTAGCTGAGCTGGAATATCCCGGGAATCCCTCAATCTTCTAAAATGTGATCCTCTCTAGTGGGCGAAAGGATGGAACCAAAGCTCTGTAGATTGGCGAGCTAATTGGATTGCGGCTCTTAAATGGACGAGCGGAAGGGATCACACGCTCTTTAGTGGACGAGCGGGATCAGACACGCCTTAGGACGGCGAATTAAAGGAATACCAAGCAAAAGAAAGAATAAACAAAAATAATATTTATTCCGGACCTTAAACTTGGGTAATTAAACCATAAAATTAAAATAAGTGAAAAAAGACTTAAGTTTGGCCAATTAAGTTAAAGAGAATTTAAAGTAGATTAAAGGCCAAAACCTAAGTTGGAAAAAACTAATAGAATGCAGGTGGGGAAAAATGTGAATAATTAAAGGAGAAAATACACAGAGAAGATTAAAGCTAAAAATAGCTATAAAACTTAATGAATGAATAAAATGAAATAAGCTATTGGAGAAGCGATCAGAAATAAAAATGGGGTTAGCACAAAAGGGTGTGGCTAACAAAAGATATGGGCAACTGGTACAATCGGTTAAAAAATAGACGGTGCAAAAGATCACCAATAAATTAATCAAAAATATTTAAATCAATCTATGGCAAACGTCGCTTCGGCGACACTGGGGCGCCGGCCACTAGCGGCGAGCATGCCATCATCTGAGTGCCCATTGTTGCAGCAAAGCATATTGATTCTCCAATGCCTATTGGTTTCTCTGTGGGTTCTCCTTTTATTGTACTCGGGCAGTATTTTTCCCCCTGATTTTGCTTGCGAAGAGAAGGTCGCATAACACGGATAGGAGTTAAATAAAGCGGAGAAGATTGCAATAATGAATTGGATTGCGGCGAACACGATTTTAACATGCGTGATAATCCAATAGATAGAAGGAGAAGGAATAGCAGTCCCGATCCTGATAAAGTTCCAGAATTGACGGGAGCATTCCGCTTTATTAAACAGTTGCCGGCGCAGCACAATTCTAAATTGGCGAATTCGCTGGGGCTGATTATTGTAACTCCTTTTTTAGTGAAGAGAAATTGACATTTTGGGCATGTCATATTAATTTGGGGCGATCCATTGATGGATGCAAAACAGAAAATTAATGATGTCACGTTTAGTAGGGTAGACACGAGTGCTCTTGATTTGCTCCTCGTTGTCATTCGATGTCCGGCGTTAGTCTTTGGGTCCCGCACGGAAGTTTCTTGAGTTCCTTCGGTAGCGGTGTCGACTTGAGGTGGGACAATAAACTCTTGTTCAGTTGGTTTTATTTCTAGAGGGTACACGCTATTGACTGGACGCGTGACAGTGTTGCCATTTTGCGGTTTTATTTGAACTCTCCTGGTTGCTCCAGGTTTTCCTCCTAACTTGGCGATACGTTCCATGGGCCATAGATCCTTTGGAGTATATTTTTCTTCTACAATTAAGATTTCGCCAATCCGAGGGGCGGATTGGATTTCCAGTCTCTTTCCTTTATGGGCGGTCTGAGATCTGGACTTTGGTAGAATAGGTCGAGCTAATGCTGGACGCTTGATTTGTTGCGCACGTGGTTTGAGGGGAAGTAAACCATTTTGGGCGGTTTCTAGTGGGTAGTGCTCGGTCACATTTATAGTTTGCTGTTGCGCAATATTTATAAGCATAGAGCCAGCGGTTAGATAATCATTTGCTGAGAATGCGGAGTTTTCTCTACTAGTTGCTTGAGAAATAGAGAGAAGCTCCGGGCGGCGATTCTTTATGAGCAAAGAAGGTTCGCGGCCAGGTTTGATGAATTTAGATTTTAGAAAACGAAGAACCCAAATGGTAGTCCTTATTTTATCCCATGAGTGAAATCTCCCTGTATTGATTAGGATGTTGTTCATTTTAGACTCAGCGGTGGAGTCGGAATTGGGTAAAGTTCTGATTTGCTTGGCGCGGTTTGCTATGAAGACCGGTTGGTGGACAGTTTCCTTAAGCCAGCTAAGGGCAATAGTTGTGTCACTCCAAATGAAGGATTTATCGATTTCCCAGTTTATCTCATTTTGGATGAATTTAGTCGAATTAAATCCAATTAAAATCCCTAGTAGTTCTAATCGAGGTAGGGTGAGTTTCGAGTTTGCTTTTAGTGGGCGAAAACAATTTTTTGAGAGGAACAAGGCGGTTCGCTCCTTTGAAAGATGATGCCTATTGGCGGCAGCTAGGATGTACGGAAAACTAATAGTCCCAAATGCAATTCCCTTGAATCGATAGACAGCTAAGTTGGACGGCGAGAGAGGTTGGTCCATGTTTTTTAGCCAAAGCAATTTACAGAATACGATTAATGAGATTTGATGACAGGCCTTTTCGATGTCGGCCAAAACGGGGATTTCGGTTTCCCGGAAGATGAGTAATTGGTTAATTAAATTGGCAAGTGAAACTAGTCCTCTAAAGAGTGTTTGGTTGAGCGAGGGAAGTCCTTTTCGATGAGCGATTGCATCGTATAATAGGCGAATTTTCCCTTTATTTGATCCTGCATGGTGTGGAAGGATGTGTTTCTGTGCGCTTGTATTGCACTGTGCGGTTTCAATTACTTCCAGTTTAAGTTGATCTTCTATTGCGTCATGGTATTCCTGGGCTATTGTGGGCGCCCTTTCTATTCGGTTAGATACTGAAGATAGGCGTTTGGCAGCCATATCAAAATTGGAGGGTAATTCCGACGGGGGTCCGGAAGTTCCTTCTGGTGATTTCCAAGGAAGTCCCACTGTGTATCTCTCATCTGGGTCCTGTTTGATCGATTGATCGACTAATCTTGTGGCGATTTCGTCGTCCCTATTTCCTGGGTTGTCGGTGATACCCATAGACTCAAGGTTCCAAAATTGCTCTATTTTATTACTGGCAGGCATTTCTTCCGGTGAGCTGTGCACGGCAGAAAGAGAAATGCAGGTTAGCGAGGTAGGTGAAATATAATGGGGTAATTCACCGCAGAGCATCGAACCAAAGTGAGTTTTTATAATGTGCAGATTTCTTCCTATTTTCCTGGATCCGAGGAAGAATCTCCAGAATTCTCTAACTCCTAGTAGAATTTCTGGTTCCCTATTTTTGACGGGAATGTTTTTGAGGTCTCGGTGGTTAGTAGGGATCCGAGTTCCATCCCATTGAATACACGGAAATGCCGGGACGATTTGCGGGATTGAGCAAAATACAACTTCTTCCCATCTCCCATTGGGCTTATGGAGCCTAATCTTGTGTCCAGTTGAGCGAAATTTGACTTTATCGGCGCCAAAAACGCGTACTGAGTGATTGGAGGTAGAAACCCTCGGTGGTCTTAAACGGTCGACCAAAGATTGAGAAATGTAGGAAGTTTGGGAGCCGGTGTCCCAGAGACCAACAGTAGTGTAAATTGGTCGATTATTCCCAGAGCTTAATTTTAGTTTGCAGGTCATCAGAAAGGTATGCGGTTTAGACCCGGTTGCGGTCATAGCCACTTCTGGGTTGGCGGGAACATTCTGGTTTGTTCCGGGTTGATTTTCAGAATTCGTTCGCGAATTTGTATACACTTGCGGCGGTCGGTGAGTCAGACTATTAACCGGTGACAAGTTTTCATTCCCTCGAAAATAGTTATTTTTCTGCTTAGTTGGGTGACTAATTTTTCTTTTGTATTGCTCCCCTTTTTGGCGGGTGCAGATAATAAAGTGGTGCTTGCCGCCGCAGTTCCTACATCTTTTGGTCGATGTACACTGCCCGATTTTATGTCCTTCGCGTAAACAATTCAAACACCTGCGTTGAGCCTGCAAGCGGGTTTTGCGGCTTTCGGGTGTTTGGAATTTGCGGCAAACTGAAGGGAGGTGATCTCCAGTACAAAGTGAGCATTGGCCGACATTCCTTTCAATGGCTGTGAATGTGCGGGTAAAGTTGGATGATGGCGAATGTGCTGGCCGGTGACTCTTTGATTGGCGAGTCGGCTGACTATATTCCCTTTGAATGGACGGGACTCTCAATCTCTTTGTGCAAATTTCCACTTCCTCTCTTATTGCTACTTGTTCTAAAAGGAAATTCCTAAGTTCCTTATGTGTCCAGTCTCCGGCTGGTGAACTTCGTTCCCTCTCTATTATTTTTTCAATAAGAGTGGAAGGAAGTTTGGCCTTAATTGTGGTGACTAGTAGGGACGCGTCTTCTTTTGTGCTGAAATTGCATTCTAATTGTCTGCAAATTCTTTCTATGTTATCGCAAAAGGTGCGAAGCGAATCAGCGGTGTCCTTTGTTGGTGGTAATTGAAGAAGCTCTGATTGGAGAGTTTCTCTGAGGTTCCGGGTACTACCATATCTTCCTTTTAAACATTCCACTATAATCGGGTAATTTTCGGCAATTCTCGGGTATCCTTGGATGGTCGATTCCGCTGATCCCATGAGTGAATTGCATAAATGGTGGACTTTGAGCGCGTCTGGGATGTTTGGATTGTCATGGATGGCCAACTCAAAACATTGCCAAAAACTGGTCCATTTTTCGGGTTCCCCAGAAAATTTCGGAATTTCCATGGGAGCGATTTTAAAAGTCGTATGCTGGGTTACGCGGTAATTCTTGTTGGTTTGGTCGCTGGGAATGATGCGAGTGTCGGGATCGTATGGAGGCGCTCCGTGATCTAGTCCTGGACTGAAGATTGCCGGAAGTGCTATCCCGTTTGACTATTTCATCGATTGTGTCGATGATGGCCAGGACTTCCACGACCCATTCGGTAAAATGTTTGTAGCCCGCTAGGAGGGGGTCATCCGGTGCCGGGCGTTGGAAGTTTTCATAAATTCTTTCCTCCGCCGGTAGGTTTTCCCGTTTCATTTTTCTCATAAAATCCTGCCATTCCCGGTTTAAATTTTCTAACCTTACGGTATTACTGGCCAACTGCTTCCGAAGAGTGCGGAGTCTTTGTAGTTGCTGTTCTTCTAACACCTCTTGTTGGGCGGTGATGATGTTGGTAGCTTCATTGAGGTTGGTTTTGAGTTGTCTGATGGCTGGGACGATCATTTTGCGGATTGGTCCCGACGACATGATGGATGAAATAAAGTAGATCTGTTGAAATGTAGAGACGGTTGATTAGAAGAGTAGTGTAGACTGTAGAGTTGTAATGGAAGAGTAGTTCTAACGTTGATGATCTAGTTGGTTGATCTGTAGAACGTAGAATTGAAGAGTCGAATGATGTGTCGACAGAAGTAGTGTTGAGTTGAATTGGTGGCTGGAAGTTGCCTGGAGGGATGAAAAAACAGAAGAAAAAAAATTATTTAAATTTAATTTAATTGAAATTGAATGAAGAAAATGAAGAGAAGAGGGTCCCGGGTCGTGGCACCAAAAAGTTTGTCGCTGAAAGAATGAGAGCTGGGTGCGGCGCGACGGTATGAACCGCACAGCTGTCGGGAGGTTGAATTAGACTGAATAAAGTGAAGAGGAGCTGAGCTAGTCGGGAGGTAGCTGAGCTGGAATATCCCGGGAATCCCTCAATCTTCTAAAATGTGATCCTCTCTAGTGGGCGAAAGGATGGAACCAAAGCTCTGTAGATTGGCGAGCTAATTGGATTGCGGCTCTTAAATGGACGAGCGGAAGGGATCACACGCTCTTTAGTGGACGAGCGGGATCAGACACGCCTTAGGACGGCGAATTAAAGGAATACCAAGCAAAAGAAAGAATAAACAAAAATAATATTTATTCCGGACCTTAAACTTGGGTAATTAAACCATAAAATTAAAATAAGTGAAAAAAGACTTAAGTTTGGCCAATTAAGTTAAAGAGAATTTAAAGTAGATTAAAGGCCAAAACCTAAGTTGGAAAAAACTAATAGAATGCAGGTGGGGAAAAATGTGAATAATTAAAGGAGAAAATACACAGAGAAGATTAAAGCTAAAAATAGCTATAAAACTTAATGAATGAATAAAATGAAATAAGCTATTGGAGAAGCGATCAGAAATAAAAATGGGGTTAGCACAAAAGGGTGTGGCTAACAAAAGATATGGGCAACTGGTACAATCGGTTAAAAAATAGACGGTGCAAAAGATCACCAATAAATTAATCAAAAATATTTAAATCAATCTATGGCAAACGTCGCTTCGGCGACAGAAGTTATCTGCCCTTGCCTATTCCATTCAGACTTATAGGCACCAGCTTACTTCCCATTCGTTCTCCCAAGATATAAGTTAGTGGCTAACTCTCAGGGAATGCACTCTCTGATAGCGATGATTTCTCTTCACATGATTTTGGATGATCCCGGCCTTATCATTTCATTCATTTAATCTGGCTCTTATTTTTTCCTAGTCTCTGTTTTGATAAAATTTTAATTACCATATAATAAACATTTTATATAAAAAATATTTTTTGCCTGATTTTGGTTTCTAGCAATTAAATGCAGTTTTAATTGTTCATTAAATTCAACAGATTGATTTAATAAAGCAATATAAACATAAGACAAATTATTATATTGTTCTCTAATATTGGTATTTGGTTGTGCAGGATCTTTATTTTTAAAAATAAATTGTTTAAAAAATAAAAATTACGCAACATCCAATTTGTTATGACCGAAAGGTACTTTAAGTTGCCAAATTCTTCAATAAAAGGACTAATTTGTTGACGCAATTGAGTAAAATCCTATTAAATGTTTATATTTTTATTTCTTACAATAATACAAACATCGGGTTCCACTGGTTGTTGCGACCCCGAACTTTCTCCAGGATGCATTCCTCCTGGTTGCGATCCTGAACCTTCTCCTTGATACATCACTCTTGGTTGCGATCCAGAAGGACCCGGATTCATTCCAAATAATAACGAAAAAAGTTGAAGAAAGCAAAAATTTAAAAGAATTAAATTGTAAATTTTCATCTTTAAATTATAATAAATGTTAAAATTTAAATATTATCTAATTTAATATTGCACTATGGCTGATGTAATTTACTATTGCTGCCCGATTACATAATTCAAATATTTTCCCAATCAACTAATTTAAATTTTTGGTTGCCCTTTAAAAGTTTGCTTTTACTTCCTTTCACTTGCGCTTTTCCTTTAAAAAATTATTTAAAATTTTGCACTTTTTAATTTTTTGCGAAACATTTAAAAAATATTTTTAATAAATGATTGTATAATATATTTCTCAATAAAAAATAATTAACGGAGTTTTTTAAATCTTAAACCCATTGTATGGTTTTAATTTAATCTTCAACAGACGGTTAAATCATGGATGTAAAAGAAATTTGAAAGGATTAAGCCTCCAATCGGCAATAACACCCCCTAAAGGGAGTATTCACTTATTGACCGCGACGGTCCGAGTAGTGTAATAAGAATTGATCAAAACAATGGTTCGGAATCAAAATGCGGAACTAAGAAAATTTTTTATACAATTCTGTTTAAAATTTAGCTCAATATTTTTCTAAAAAAATCGTCAGATTTTCGGTTACAAAAAAATTCTTAACCAATTCTAAGTGTAATTAATAATTAAAAATATTTTTGAAAAATTATGTTGTTAACTTATTTTTTTAATTAAAAAATAAACTTAAAAATTCAGCAATTCCTCACACCAATGGGCAGCTTTCGCCGTCGACTACCTCCAACACCCTTGGATTTGGCAAATGGAAGATTATCTGGTTCTCAAGATGCAATATTAATACCCCCACTTTCCGAGGATGTTGGGAATGGAAGTGTAACACTCCCACCAAGCAGAAGAACAAGTTCACCTAGAATATTGCCAACACCTCCATCACCTTTACAACAATTCTCCCCAAATTCTAGAGGAATTCAAAATTCTTCTAATATGGTCTGTAATTTATATGTTAAAATGATTATTATATTTTATGGGCATCGAAAAATAATATTTTAAATTATTCTTTGATAAATAATTTTTTGGTAAATAAACTAGGGAAAGGCATGGGATAGGGAACTGCACGCTTGGTAATGCAGGCTTGGTAATGGATACGGATATGGAGACATATAAGTTCAAAATGCCTGCGGATATCCGCCTGTATCCGTCGTATATATCCGGATACGGATACCAAAATCCATGTCCATTACCAAGTCAAATGTATGTATTATCCGAGATAATCATATAATTTTAATAGACCTGAAACCATTATTTTTAAAATTTCGGATTGGTGGGAATTTTATTATTAAGTTACGGGATAACGGTATTACGATGTTATTCTCCTTTCACACTTTTCGAAATAGATTCCGGTACCCTCTTTATTGGATTTATTAACTCATCCTTAACATTTTCTTTTGTAGAACTTATCTTACAACGACGAAAATGTTGGTTATCAGCAACCACCCCCTGCAAGCCCTTTTGAAAGGCGTCGCTCAGTTCGTCGTCAACTACCTCCAGAACCCCCAAATATTCAACAATACGATTCTACCCCAAAACTTATAATTGTTAACAATAATTCTTCACATCAAATAACTAAAAGACAATTGAGTGGGGAAACAAAAAGTAATAAAATTGAAGGAATAGCAACATTAACTATTGAAGAAAATGTTGAGAATGGGAATGGGTTACAAAGGAGTTGTTCTACTAGAAGTACACGTCGAACAAAGGGAATGGAAGGAGAGAAGAATATGAGAGGGACTAGGTAATTAAAATCTAAACTGGGGTAGTCTAAGATGGGGTGGGACTTGATTCTGTGGAGCTCTCCGATTCAGGGTTGTCAAACGCCCAACTATACCACTACCGATTGAAGTTTTCATTTTAAACTGCTAATGTGACTCGGAGGAAACCTCACCGACTAGCCCCGCCTCACCTGCTAGTCTCTCAACCTCACCAGCTAACTCATAGTGGCTATACTCCACAGATATTTGTGAAAGGGTTATAAGGAGAGTCAACACTTTACGCAAGTTTTACGAGTCATTTTACTTTCTCGGATTTTGGGAGTAGTTTCTTTTGTCTTCGGATTACCCTAAATTTACTTCAAGTTTTCCACTTCACGCCCAATCAAAGCCTCTTTAAATCAAAATTTTATTAAATTTCCTCAGGGGTTCAAATGCTTCATCCAATTTGCCTCCAACACCCTGGACTCAACACTCATTAGAGCAACAACATAATAATTTCGAAAATAATTCTAATAATGTTATAACCTTAGCTAACAATATTTCCCCCTCCCCTCTTCCTCCATATATTAATGAAGAGGAACAGAATACCCAGAAACAACAACCCCCTCTATTAAAAATACCTTCAATAAATGCCTTAACTTGTAACAATAATAACGTTACAAGGCATGGACGAACATTATCTAGCAGAAACATAAAAGAGGAAAAAACAACAGAAATTGTATAATATTTAATTAATTTTGTTAATTAATATACAGTCAAAGCTCACTAAAGAGTACTTCTTAAGACTGAAAAAAAAT